CCAAACTTGTCCATTATTCCAGTTACCTTTTGACTTCCTAGGCCCCGCTCACACGGGAGGATTTGCCCCGCAAGAGGATCGGGGGCGTATCAAGCTGGCGCGATCACACTGCAACATCTGGGAAGCGTCACACACCCATCCCCGATCCGTCCCTTCGGCCCAAAAACGTGTTTTTAAAAGGTACTAGTAACAGAGCACTACCTTCCGGATGATGTGCAGCAACTCCAGGCGTCTGGTTGGGGAAGCACTGGTAGCCCATCGCAGCCAGCGCCGTTCCCCATCCCATGCATGCGCACAACCGCACTACTGCCGGTTTGCTGCACAACGTGTGATCGGCTGCCAGAGCACGGAGCACGGAGCCGTGGGGGCATGTCAGATCGTGCTCCTGCGGTTCTTTTTGCTCCAGCTCTAATTTGCCTCCCTTCGGCAGCGGATCATCCTGCTCGCGTGACCGGGACCCTACTTTAGCATCCCAGTCCCCTATGATGATAAGGACATCTTTTTTTGTGTTAGTTCCAGGAAGTGTTGTAGGTCTTCATATAACCAGTGCATTTCAGCCTCCTCTGCGTCAGTGGTTGGGGCATAGACTTGGATTACTGTGATGTTGAATGGTTCGCCTTGGATTCTGACCAAGATCATTCTGTCGTTTTTGAGATTGTATCCCAGTACTGCCTTTCTCACTCTCCTGTCGACTATACAGGCCACACCATTTTTTCTACGGGATTCTTGGCCACAGTAGTAGATATAATGGTCTTCTGAGTTAAATTTGCCCATTCCTGTCCACGTTAGTTCACTGATTCCTTAGATGTCAATGGTCAGTCTTGCCATCTCATTTTTTACCACATCCAACTTACCTTGATTCATAGGTCTTACATTCCAGGTTCCTATGCAGTATTGTTTTTTGCAGCTTCGGACTTTCCTTTCACCATCAGACACATCCACAACTGAGCATCCTTTTGGCTTTGGCCCAGCCACTTCACTCTTTCTGGCATTACTTGTACTTGCCCTCTGCTCTTCCCCAGTAGCATATTGGACAACTTCTGACCTGAGGGGCTCATCTTTTGGCATCATATCTTTTAGCCTTTATGTACACTGACCTTTTCTAATCCTGGCTGCGATGGGCTACCAGTGCTTCCCTTCTCCAGTGGATCATGTATTGTCTGAGTTCTCCACTGTGGCCTGTCCATCCTGGGTGGCCCTCCATGGCATAGCCCACAGCCTCATCAAACTCTGCAAGCCCCCTCGCCACATCAAGATCTTAAGGGTGTAGTACAATAAATACTTTTGCCTTAAAAGGCAGTAAAAAAAACTTGGCTCCTCTCCTACTTCCTCCATTACATGAAATAACCTCATGCAGCAACCAGAAGAGAAAACTAGTCATGCCAGTGAAAAACTGGCCAGTTGGAACCCTATGCAGAGCCAGTGCAATGCCTAAGTAAATGCTTAAGCATGTAAGAACATAAGAGAAGCCAATGTTGGATCAGGCCAATGGCCCATTCAGTTCAACACTCTGTCACACAGTGGCCAAAAATACCACGTGCCATCAGGAGGTCCATCAGTGGGGCCAGGACACTAGAAGCCCTCGCACTGTTGCTCCCCCAGCACCAAGAATACAGAGCATCACTTGCCCCAGACTGAGAGCTCCTATCTATACTTTGTGACTAATAGCCACTGATGGACCTCTGCTCCATATGTTTATCCAATTTTCTCTTGAAGCCGCCCATGCTTGTAGCCACCACCACCTCCTCTGGCAGTGAATTCCATATATTAATCACTCTTTGCGTGTTATGTATTGGGACTGAATCATTCCAGGTATGTCACACCACAGACTGGCTGAGCTTGGAGCACAAGAACAATAGCCTACCAGGACTCTGGAAGTAACCAATCAAGTAGTGTAGTAATGTTCTGTAAATAGCCTATCACTGGGAGTAGGGTGTGTTTGGGTGTGGCAATTGCATGCTATTTAACAGAGCTGAGGCTCTGGAGTCTTGTTCTTGCTGAAATCACTAATAAAGTAGAGCTGATCACTAGACTTGTGGTCTGTTCATCCATGGAACCCACTATTTAACATTGGGTGAAGAATTACTTCCTTTTTTTTAACCCGACTGCTCAGCAATTTCATTGAGTGCCCACGGGTTCTTGGATTGTGAGAAAGAGCGAAAAGTACTTCTTTCTCTACCTGCTCTATCCCACGCATAATCTTGTAAACCTCTATCGTGTCACCCCTCAGTTGTCTTTCTCCAAGCTAAAGAGCCCCAAACGTTTATCCTTTCTTCATAGGGAAAGTGTTCCATCCTCTTTATTATTCTACTTGTTCTTTCTGCACTTTTTCCAGTTCTATAATATCCTTTCTGAGGTGTGGTGACCAGAATTGCACACAGTATTCCAAATGAGGTCGCACCGTCGATTTATACAGGGGCATTATGATACTGGCTGATTTGTTTTCAGTTCCTGTACAGGATTCTGCCCCCACGCCTGTCTAGGAATGAGGGGAAAACTCCTATATGTTCACAATACATTACAACAATGCCCAGCTCTAGCACCTCCTCAGAGATGCACTCTTAAGATTCAATGGTAGCGTGTAGCCAGCTAGGCACAAGGAATTCAGCCTTGGAGTCTAGTTACCCATCAAGCAGACAGTATTTATAAACAAGAGTAAAGTTTATTTAGCACAGGCTTGCATCAGAATAATAATAATTCAAAACAAGAAAACCTATGGCTCTTGGCCCTGACTAGACATTAGAGATATGCATAATTACCAGGAGGATCCATAGTCAAGAATGTCCAAGTATACAGTCCAACAAGATCCCACGGGATCTTCAGCAGAAATCCCATCTTTGTGCAAGTATGCAGCCATGTGCTCAGCTGCACCAAAGAATCCTTTGTTCTGCCTCAGGCCACATGGCAGAGACAGCAGTCCAGATGACAACAGAACAGAACAAGAAAGCAAGAGAATCTGAGCTCTTCTCTATGGGTTCAGACAATTAAACCCCAATCTCATTATGATCAGCCATGGCCATTAGCCAATCATCAGTAGACAGGGAGGTCCAAACTTTTGGGTTGTCATGGTAATGGGAGGGGAATAGGTTAGGTCTGGGGACCACCCTCTGCAGCAAATGACCCCAGAGCCCAACCCATCTTTGGGCCTACGTGCGTTTCTGACATGCTTCGGCAGGGCCATTTGGTTTATGGCAGGCAATTGAGCAAATGGTCAGCCATCTGGCTTGCATAGGAAATCAGAACAACAGGGGGTCAGCAAGATACATTCCAAGGGAGAGGCAGGGGTCTATAGGAATCAATATTTCTATACAGTTCCCTTCTAATCATCCCTAGCATAGCGTTGGCCTTTTTTTATTGCAGATGCAAATTGTCTCAACATTTTCAGTGAATTGTCTACTACAACTCCAAGATCTCTCTCTTGGTCAGTCTCTGCCAATTTGGACCTCATCAATGTGTATTTATAGTTAGGATTTTTTGCCCCAATGTGCATCCGTTTGCACTTGGGCACCATGAACCCCATTTGCCACGTTGACGCTCACTCGCCCATCCTTGACAGATCCCTTTGGAGTGCCTCACAATCCTCCCTGGTTCTCACCACCCTGAACAATTTAGTGTCAACTGGTAGGTAGAGGGCACTAGCTTGGCATAGAAGGGGCGAACTAATGTATCTGACAACAGTAGTCACCTCTTACCAGACCTATGGCGCTGTCATGCAGGCCCTCAATAGACAACAGAGGTACCACAACCTGCCTTGGAGCTAGTGAGAACAGTGTTTCCTCTAAACTGTTAGTGTGAGCTAGCTCACAGTTTTTAGCCTCCGGTTCACAGATTTTTCTCTTAGCTCAGGAAGGATGGCTCCAGAGCAAACTGATTTATGCAGTAGCCAAATCACTGGCTCACAACTTTAATGCCAGTAGCTCACAAAGTAGATTTTTTGCTTATAAGGCTCCACAGCTTAGAGGGAGCATTGAGTGAGAGTGGCTCAGAAGGAAGCATGCACACACACCCCCCTCATGTTGTTGCCAGGCTCCATGGGAAGAGATATATGGCATGCCTTGATTCTGCTGCCATCAGGCTCCATAGCAAACTACAAACCACTTCCAGAACTTTTCTTGCAGCTTGCATGGTAAGTGCACCTCCTTCTTGCCTTGCCAAAATCTGAAAATGGCCTGGTCAGTTAATCACACATTAACATGGACGTCCAATCACATGGCCTCCCCTGCAAAGCAGCCCTACTGAAATTGCCTATCCTTACTACCTATCCAGCTGCTGGAGCTAATACAGAAAGCTATGTCGCCATTTTAGTTAAATTTTTAAATCTGATTTTTAAATTTTAATCTGGCAATTGTTTATATTGTAAATGAAATTTTGATGTTAGCCGCCCTGAGCCCACCGTAGCGCTTGCAGGATACAAATGTAATAAATGTATAAACAAACTTTTCATGTGAAATGTTCATACTGGTGAGATACAGGCTGCAAACCATCTATTTACACACACACACACACACTTTATGGACTCATGTTACTTGGAAAAGAATATTGGGGGACAAACCTAAGCAGATTTCTCGGAAGTAAGCTCCATGTTATTCAGTCTGTGGGACGTTATGCCCAAGAAACTGCTGTCAGAATTCCAGCCTTCAAGCCTCAATTAAAAGTAACACGACATCATTCAACGACTTGCGATGCTGGTTTTTGTAGCGTTTTGATTTCATTTTTAGTTTGTTTTGGGTAGTCTCTTTTAATTTGCAAACCACCTAAGGAACAGCACCACGCATCCCCAGGAGACCACAAACTAATGGGAATTTCGGTGGGTGGGGTGTCGAAATTAGGAGACGAGCGCTTGAGAAGCTTCCTCCGATGCCAGAGAGCCTAAGGAGAAAATTCGCGTTCCAGCAAGCGCTACTACATTACCCATCAGCCTGTGGGCGGGCGGATGGCGCAATATTGGTTACCATGACGCCCTAACGCTGCGTGTCCTGCCCTCCCTCTCTTTTGTCAAGATGCCGTTATCACTGTCTCCGGCTCGAGTCTTTGCTGAGCTAGTCCCTTCACCTGTCGGGAGAAATGGCACGGACAACGATTCGCCTGGCGTTGCAAAAGGGACCCCTGGATTTGTACAGCCGCCCGGCAGGGAGGTTCACGTGAGTGGGACCGCGGAGCTAAGCGCAGGCCCGGACCGTGCAAAGGTCACTATCCATTTGAGAAGCAAGAAACCGGAGGCCTGTGCGGCGCGGAGCAGCGTCACTCGGCGGCTGGACTACATCGCCCAGACCGCACGACAGCGCGGCGGCATCTCGGTGGGTGTACGAGAAAGCAGGCGGGGCGGGCTGAGCGCTGCTGCGGCCTCGGCGGAGTTCTGTGGTCTCGTTCTGAGAAATCCCTGCAAGGAGATTCAGCCCTTGCTCCTCCCCCCCGACCCTCTGGAGGCAGCTTAGTCGTGCGTGCTTCTTTTCCCTCCGTTAACATGTATTTAGTATATTTTTATCTCGCCCCTCTTCCAAAGGAGTTCAGAGCTTCAGAACTTGCCACTTGCTGCGACCGACAGACTGACAAAGTCTTATTCCGGCATAAATGAATTAGTAGAGCCCACTTTGTCAGAAACATGCATCATAGATTACAGTTTTTACCTCTTTATAGTCTCGTATATATTGCCTGCCTGTCCATGTGTAGCTGACAAAGTTGGCTCACAAAAACTTACAGAACAATTAGTGCTAGTTGTTCATGTGCTACAGTTGGTGTAAGATCATCTCATACTAGGCAAAGGTTCTGAATAAAAAATATTGTAAGATATGTTATATATCCCTGCCAACTGAGTACCCACCGCCTGCATATTACAAAGCAGGATCTTGTTCATGAAATCGTGTGTGTCTGTGTGTCTGTGTGTGTCTGTGTGTGTGGTGAGTGCTCTCGGGTTCCTACCGATTTATGGCAACCCTATGAATTAGTGTTCTCCAAAGCATCCTGTTGTTAACAGGAAATCTTGTGCTGCAATAAAGTCTTAGAAGTCTTACAGTGCTGCAAGACTCCTGTTCATTTTTGTGGCAGTAGACAAATAGGGCTGCTCTTCTGGAGCTGTTAACACTGAGCACGTTTTAGGGAGGATTGCCTTGGCGTTTTTGAAATTAATAATTAACTCATTGGTAGTTACTTGTAACATGTGGTAATTTAGCATTAAAGTGCCATTAAGATGACTTAATGTGTTGGATTCTCTGTCTCATGAGGGCTAGGATTGCCAGCAGACCTTGAGAACAATGGCCTGGCCTTTTAACAGAGGCTTAATGAGTGTAAATAGGCAGCTGAAGCTTTCATGGCACAGAGGTAAATAACCTCTGTTAAATAGCTGCCCATTAAGCTTCTTTTTAAGAGGACTGGAATCTTTTTTTCCTTCCAGGCAGATGGCAATGCTAACAGTTTATCATCTCCAATAACTTGAAAAACAATAGGGATAAGAAATGTGAATGTGGGCAAATGCGGGTAAGTAAATGTAAATATAAATAAGACCAGTTCCAAGGGGGAGCTTAAGAACCTAAGAGGACTGAGTCCTGATTCAAATTAAACCTTAAATGTATTGTGTAATGATCAAATACTAGTGCACACCTGTGCTGTGCTGTCTTTGCATATGTCTTTCATTAGTCATCTGCCATATCCTGCTACTCTTTCTACAACAGCTGTTCATCATCTATCTTCTGTGCAGTCCCATGGGATAGGTCTTTACAGTTAAAAGTCTCCAGGGGATGCTGTGTGCCAGTCAGAAGCTTGTTCTCGCCCAGGGATCACATGCTCCTGCGCAGCAGCGTCCCCCTACCCTCGGTACCTTTAGTTCCTTCCACTAGTGTGATGAAATGTTTTGTGTCTTTCAAATATGCTTTCCCTGAGGTAACAAAGGGTTGTAAAAATGAGTCTACATATTGGCCAATAGGCTCTAAGGGAGAATTGACTGCTGACACTATTGGTCTTCCTGGTGGAGGTGAACCCTTTTTGTGTATTTTGGGTAATATGTAAAATATTGGGACTCTCACATGTTGCTTGATTAAAAACTTTAGTAAAGTCTCATCTAAATGTCCTAAATTATTTGCTTGTGTTACTACAATTTTAATTAAATGTTGTATGTGTTCTGTGGGATCAAAATCTGTTGGCCTGTAATGAGTGGTATGCTGTAATAACGTGTCTACCATTAGTAGATAGTCCTCTGTGTTAAGTATAACTGTGGCTCCACCTTTGTCTGCAGGTTTAATTATAGATGGATCTTCAGCTAGTTCTGTTACTGCCTTATATTCTAATGGAGATGTTTACTGCCTTCCCTTTCAAATCTTTCAATTACTGCCTTATATTCTAATGGAGATGTTTTCAAATCTTTCAGTATCATTCAATAAGAGTTGTTCAAAGACTGTGATAGAAGGAACCATTATGCTAGGTACAAAGGAAGATTTATTAATGAATCTATTTTGATCTCTTGCATGGTCTCCAAAAAAGGCCCTCAATTTTAGTTGTCTGATAAGTTTGTATACATCTATTCGTGTTTTAAATGGGTCATGCCTGGGAGTTCGAATGAAATTTAACCCCAGGTTCAATACTTTGGTTTCAGTGGGAGATAGATTTTGTGAGGATAAATTCACCACTAGCGATTCCTCCGACTCCTTCGGGGCAGAGGCTGAAACTGTGGAGACTTGTGTTTTATAATACCCTTTCCTAAAAAAGAAGTACATCCTTTACTGGCTCCTTCCCCTGTGGATTCTTCACTGTCTGTACCTTCTACCTCTGAGCTTGAGATGGTTTGGTCTGCCCATAAGATTCTCCTCCTTCCATTTCTATTCTGTTGATTCTCACCACCTGATTTCCACTTATAAACTTTTTCATTCTCATAATCTCGAAGGTCCCTATGATATTTTTTGGTCTTAGCTTCTCTAATTTTAGTTTCCAACCCTTTCCCCATATTCTCCAGTCCTATGTGTTTGCTGTTATAATTTTCTATGTTAGTGGCTGATTTTTTTAAAGTCCTATTCCATTTCCAAAATCTCCTCATCTAGAGTTTTAGTTTCTTCTGCTGCTGTTTCTATAATCAAGAGAATAACACTTATTGAGAATTGATATCCACCTCTTTTTAAATGTTTCTAAATTTTTAAACAAGGCTGGTGCTTTCTGTATATGTAAGCCCCTCGGTATTTTGTTAATTTTGCAATGTTCTGTTAAAGAATTAGCATGCATAAAGTATCTGATTCTTCTTCTTAAGAGAAGCTAATTGATTCCAATCTGAATTCATTTCCATGGACTGTTGTTCAAACATACCAGGAAAAGTAGCAAATATTCTATCTCTATCATTATCAGAGAAACCTAATGTCTCCATAATTTACACTCTATACTCCTGGGAATAAATGTATCAAAAACAAAACAGACTTTGGTGTGAATACAATAGAAAAAATGAGCTCACCAAAGAAAATCACTCTTCTACAATTTTAACACAGTTGTACTTATATAACAAATTTCCTGTATTAAACATCAAAATATGTATATTTTCCTGGAAAAACAATGTGCTAATGCCATGAGCATAATAACAGTCCCAATTTGTGCAAGGCAAAGAAACAAAATCAAAACTGACTTTTAAAGAACATAAGAGACACCAATGTTGGATCAGGCCAAAGGCCCATCCAGTCCAACACTTTGTGTCACACAGTGGCCAGAAATACCAGTGCCATCAGGAGGTCAACCGGTGGGGCCAGGACATTAGAAGTCCTCCCACTGTTGACCCCCCTAAGCCCCAAGAAGACAGAGCATCACTTGTCCCAGAGCCCCTATCTATACCTTGTGGCTAATAGCCACTGATGGACCTCTGCTCCATATGTTTATCTAATTCCCTTTTGAAGCCGTCCATGCTTGTAGCTGTCACCACCTCCTGTGGCAGTGAATTCCATGGGTTAATCACTCTTTGGGTGAAGAAGTACTTCCTTTTATCCGTTCTAACCCGACCGTTCAGCAATTCCATGGAGTGCCCACGAGTTCTTCTATTGTGAGAAAGGGAGAAAAGTACCTCTTTCTCTATCTGCTCTTTCCCATGCATAATCTTATAAACCTCAGTCATGTCACCCCTCAGTCGTCGTCTCTCCAAGCTAAAGAGCCCTAAGCGCTTTAACCTTTCCTCATAGGGAAAGTGTTCCAACCCTTTTATCATTCGAGTTGCCCTTTTCTGCACTTTTTCCAAAGCTATAA